AATTACAAAGAACTGCTGGAAATTACGAAAGTTTTCAGAATTTCTAATATCTATAAACATAATAATTAGCGCCCGTTTGAATCTCATTCTTTGGGCAAGAATTCATTTTTCTACAGTAAATTTCTGAAAAGAAACAGATGCTTGTGTCAGATGGCAGATTACACCCATTCGACCGTTGAATTCAATTTTTATTTTTGCCCTCCCATCAATTTGCAATTCTACCCAACAACCCCCTCAGAAGGAAAAGGACACCTCAAACCTACCAATTCGCAGCTATTGGGAAATTAGAAGCAACATCACCGGTGGAAAAAATCTCAAAATTACAGTGATCACTATCCAACCGCTGACCAGTGCCAATCTTGCTCTAGAACCTGCAAATCAATCACGGTATTTTGAAGCCCCAACTAAAGCTCTGCCCACCCAACGACCAGAGGATTCTTCAAATCAGATTTGCCGTCTATGGAGAACGACGGGTCCCCGTGGAACTTTTACCCTGACGACACGGTAAGCTCTTCCCTATTTGCATCTTCTCCGTGAATGAATGTGTGCATATTTTCGTTCCAGAAATAATGGTCGAAATCCCCGTTTTGCTTATTTGCGTAACTCTAAATCTCATTCTTCCCCTTGCAGCAGTACCCAGTTGAATCGAATGACCCATTGAATCATACCGCTTCCAACCCTCACGAGCCTCGACCGGTTGTACGCAAGTGGGCGAAATGGAACCCAACAGAGCACAAAGTGTTTATCGAGACCTGCGAAATTGTCATCGCCGAAGGCCATCGTCGAGGCAAATGCTTTTCCCCGAAAGGCTGGTCTCGTATCTCTGAAATGTTCAATGCCGCAACGGGAAAGAGTTGGACTACAGCCCAGATGAAGAATTACTGGAATAAATTACGAACAGATCACAAACAACTATTCGAGTTACTGCGATGCACCGGCATTGAGTATCGATCGGGTACAGGAAGAATTAAAGCTCCGGATCATTGGTGGGAAGCAAAAATTAAGGTATGTTTGCAAATACATGTTTGCCTAGTGTGTTTCACTACTATCTTAACACTGATTCATTTTCCAATTGGGATAAATGAAATTAAAAAATGGCATGTAAAGAAGTCGTGATAGTTTTACATATGGTGTTATTTTGTTGCTAAGTTTCAATCAGTGTTCTATTGATCCATCCGGGTTCTTTTTAATGGCATCTCAGTAACAGAGTATGTTTGAATTGAGTGTTGTGATTGTGGAACTTATCTCAGTAACAGAGTATGTTGTGATTGTGGAACTTTTTAATGGCTTCAGTTCCACATCAGGCAGTTGACATTATCCTATAAGAGATTTCATCCACTTCAATTAAATGAGATTTGAGTAATAGAGAATTTCGAGTGATCGTTGACACACTTAAGGACTACGTGCTAAATTAAAATAACTTGGCCCTTCACATGAGTGAACTGATCTTGCAAGACATTAATCTGCCTGCTATAAACTTTATTGCATAACAACTGATCATGTTTCCTTGAAGTTCTTTTGTGGATTTCGTTGGCAGGACGTTGGCCAGTTGTGGTGTTGTTTATTAATTTTAAGTTCGACACATTATTTGTTCATAGAAAGTGTATACCTGTGGATTTGATAAGCTACCATTTAGCATGATTCATTACAATTTTGTTTGTGCAGGAAAACCCAAAATACGCAAAGCATAGAAACTTTGACTGCAGTGAGATATACGATACATATGGGAAATTGTTCGGTGACACCTGTGACTCGATGAAATATGCCGTTTCCCCAACAAAGTTGTCGCAGTGGGGATTTGACTTTAGCACAGATAGCGACAGAGATGGAGGCGATATGATGCCCATCAACGCGGAGGCAACCGATTCCAGTGGCAGTCCAATAGAAGGTAGAGCTGGCTCGTCCATGAATATATCCGGGCACTGTAGTGGGGATAAAAGGAAATTCAAAAACAGGAAACAAAGAGGGAAGAAGAAAATGTACGGTGCCGAAGAGGTTTCAGCGTCCCTTGAGCAAATGATCAGTGTTGGTGAGGATCTCGCTTCCATCGCGAGATCGACGGAGAAGGGTGTAATGTCAGTGACCGAGTCCGTTGACGAACTTCTGTCCACTGGTCATGTACAAGAAGGTGACGAGCTCTACCTCTTTGCACTGTGGTTCTTACGAGAGAAATCAAACCGAAGTTCGTACTCCGCTGCCAAGACACCCTACTTGCGGTTTAAGTTCGTGGAGTACTGCTTCGAGAGAGACAAGAATTCTCGACCCCGTAAGGTGTGAGTACTCCGTTTGTTAGAGCGATGTGTGTTCCTTTTTTTTTTTTTTGAGCTGATCTTGTACATTTGTAATGTGTACTAGACATTTGTGTGATTTTCCTTTTTCTCGAACGTGTTTTAGAAGGATGTGTTATGTATCTGAAGTTATTTCCGTATTCTCCCCGATTTTCTTATTAGAACCTGTTACTTATATATTAGAAGGATGTGATATATTATTCACAAATTGATGCATGTGAAGTAAAAACAAGGCATTTATATATTATGCACAAATTGAAGTGGATGAAATTTTTAAAGTCCGTATTTAAATGTGGCGGCACCATCAGTAGGTTTTTTGTGTAATTTATCAGATACAAGTCTCGAACACTAATCTATAACAAGATTACTAGAAAAATAACATGTTAAATCATTGATATTCATTTGTTTAATCTGATTCATAATCTTAATTTCTCTAATCTATAACAATGTCAAATCAATTGTAGTGTAAGTTGGTAAAGAAAAAAAGGAAATCAGAGATTGGGCAGATTTTCATAGTCAGTGCAGGGAATATTCCCTGCAATTTGATTCCATTCCATTTTCCAATTGCTATGAAAAGAGATTTGAAAAAGGACATTCACATGCAAATGGTTGGTCTTCATTCCTTCACGACACTCCCCCTTCTTTTGTTATAAGTACCAAAAGCAAATGCAAGTTTGGGCACTCAATGCAGACTGTAATCCTATCAAATAAATTGGGCAAAAAATTCTCCAGATTTCGTTTTTGTTCGATACACCACGTGAAGTTGTTCGAAGAGATGTCGAACAATCTTGATGAGCACTCATATTCAGATACAGATTGCGACGTTGGGTCGATTTCGGATTCCTCTTCGAGTTCTGATAAAGATTTCCAACAGCATCTGGAGGATGACATACGCACGTGGCTCCAGTATTGTAGAATAGGCGAGAGCATTGTTCGCGATTATTTGGCACCGAATAGAGCACGTCGATATTTATTCCCGACATCGCGATGTGGCCACATTTTTATGCTACAAAATATGCATGTTTATCCACAAACGTGTTTTCAGGAATTTAGGATGTATCCTCCGATGTTTATGTACTTCACGCACATCCTTCGTGATGAGTACGGCATTTCCAGCAACACAAACATTGACATATACGAACAAGTGGGAATGTTTTTGTGTATACTAGCACATGGCAAAGGTTATCGCCAAGTGCAAACGCTGTTCAATCATTCCTTACAGACCATCAGTCATTATTTCAAGAAAATCTTGCGTGCTTGCGTGGCGTTCGGAATAAAAATGATTAAACCAGATCCGAGGTACAACGAATGAGTAGCTCACCATCATCCACCTGTGGAACGGTATCCCCTATTTCAGGTAAAGTTTATTAGCTAGATGAAGGCTACAATTGATATTGTTTATTAAACGATTTGTGTTTAAAAGAAGACCAAAATCACAGGATTGCATTGGTGCGATCGACAGAACGCATGTGAGAGCTGTGCTGCCACGACATAAAAGAGAGAGTTACATTGGAAGGAAGGGGATACCAACACAGAATGTATTGGCAGCATGAGATTTCAATCTTTGTTTTACGTACGTGCTGCCGGAAACCACGGGGAACACCCACAACAGTCGCATATTGGCCAGAGCTGTACATAGTCCGGAAATTAATTTTCCAGAACCCGCAAATGGGAAATATTACCTTGTTGACTCCGGGTTCGCACATAGGCCTGGGTATATGGCTCCATATAAGGGCTCTGATATTAGATATCATTTTCAAGAATTCGGTCGTGTTAGGGATGGACAACGTCGTAGGTTTCGAAATGCACGCGAGCGATTTAATTTTCATCACTCCTCATGTCGTAACGTTATTGAGCGTGCCTTCAGTGTTTGGAAACAGAGGTGGAAGATCATTGATCGAATGCCTGCTTACAATATGAGAGTACAAACAGCTGTTGTCGTGGCTACAATGGGTATACATAACTTCTTAAGGAGAAATGGTCGGATAGATGAGGGTTTTCGTAGAGCGGAAGAAGTAGACGATGAAGAAGTTGAGGTAGATCTACCAGATGAAGAAGACGAGAATGTCGCCGAGCTCAATGCAATAGGTGAAGAGGACATGTCGTGGCAGCAACTACGTGATTACATGGCACAGGCGTTACGTTTGTACTAATCGAATCAGCCGTAGTTGGCTACTTATGCAGAATTTATGTTCGTGTTTTCATATTCGTGCGCTGAAATTCCATAAATAATTGTAAGATGGAATTTACGTCAATTTGTACAGTGTTGGAAATATTGCATGTTGTAAGCCTTAGAGTTGTTGACTATTCAACCCCAACATTTACATGATTGACACGAATTGGTCTTTCTAGAAATAATGCCCCCGTTTGACTTTTCAAAAGAATCAAAACCAATGTTAACAACAGTTGAAAACGTGCCACACCTACCACCTTTTTTCCAAAGGCCAAAAAGAAGGGCATAATTGGAATAACATCAATAATGGCACATGTTTTGTACAAAATTCAGCTGCTTTTCTGGACAAAGTCAGAGTCCCTCCACTGTCATAAGTACAACGGGCCCCACACCTAATGCAAACTACTGTTGAAAAATGGGAAAAAAGGGGTGTCAAACGGGGGCTTAATATATAATTAGAAGGAATTACTTTAAGTGTTCAAAATGTGAATATTTATATTTATAGTAATAAAGTAGACAGCTACGAAATGGGAAAAACGAATTTTAAAAATACGAAATGTGAAGCTTCAAATCATCTGGAGAACCAATTA